CCCCCCCGAATCATCACGCCGACGCCCTCCACCCCTTTGGGATCAATTTTAGTCCATTTGAACGGAACGTCGCAACACAGACACCTTGACTGGCGGTGGTGCAATACGCCAGAAAATACAAAAAGCGCTGGTGCCATTGCCGTGTGTCATGGGACCCAGCAGTGCAATACTTTGAGCTGTCAAGCTACATGTAGCCGCGCTGTGTTTTAAGCTGAACACCACTGCCTTGGGGGAAGGCTTTCGTCGAAGGACAAGAGCTATGGAGGTTCCTTCCTGCATTACCTTGGAGCGGAGTTCGTTCGGCTTGAGACACGACAGATAGGTGCATGTTTCCATCGTGCGGGGCCTCGGATCGGAGGCACGTTTGGCGCAAGAGAGAAGGAGAGCCAAATACGATGAGAAAAGTAAAGCACCCACCCAGGGTCTAGGGGGTGACGTCATGAATCCGAACCCCCTTTGGTCGGAATGTTCAATTGAAGGAAAAAGCAATGCAAAGAACGCGAACGCCAAGGAATATTTTCTAATTTATCCCGGACGCTTTATCTGTGGATGGAGATGAATTGTTTGTTGTGTTATTTGCAATAAACAAAAACGGTGGTTATATTGGACTCCGAAGGGGTCAGTACCGGTACCTCCTTGATTGTATGTATGTCATCCTACAAAAAACAAGTGCAAACATAAAACTGTTGCTGAACCAGCAGCACTTTCTCCTTGTCTTGTGAGTCTCACCAGCGTGTGCTTCAGCGGCTCCCTGAGGTACCGCCACACCTCCGCCGTGAAGACCGCCTTCTCCCCGCCGCCGCTCGCCGCGGACAGAGCCTTCCCGGCATCGTCAACCGCCTGCTGCATGGAGTACAGCGCCTTCCTCCTCCTCTCCCAGTCGTCTGGGTTGCCCGATACCTCCTGCGCCAGGGAGAGCGCCGCTGCCTCGAGGGTCCCCGTAGCAGGCTTTTTGGACAAAATTTTTCCCGGCAGAACGGCGACGATTTTCACCGCAACCAAGGGAACGGGGCGGGCGGGCATACGACGGCGTGATCAGGTGGCTATTTAGGTCATTTGATACGTACGTCGCCACGCATGTATCAAAGGACAGACAGCCACAGAGCGGCTTACAACAGGTCCCAAATTTAGAATTTTGGATTACCGTCACCTCGCTCTCGCCATCGGTCTGGGAACGTCACCTACAAATCGACACAGCAGAACAGCAGTTAGTCTGCCTGCTGTGAACGCGAGTGATAAGCGGCGGCGCACACAAGCATGCGGAATAACGAAGTCGGCTACCAATTTGTCGTCTGTCACTCTGTCACGGAGCCCTCGGCCAGACTTTGCGCGGCGCAATCGCGATCTACAAAAATATCGCTGTCTGTTGTTCGCCGGACAAGTGCCGTTTAGGCATCATACCTATTGCGCTAGAATTTCGGGTTAGATGAAGCACTTGCAGCGGAGAGGTGGGAGTTTTTCGAAAATAACTTCAAGCCCAATCATTCTAATGAACAAGTCGACGAATACAGCCATCTAGGGCCACCGTGTTGTCAACATTAGAAAGAAAGGCCGTTCATATCTTCGTTGGGTGTAACACAGGTGTTGTGTTCTTGTGTGTTTTTTCAAGCATATATTGTCGGGCGCCAGTGTTACACGATTCTTCGGTGTATGTCAGCCACAAGGTTGACGCACCAGCCACAGGGTGAAAGGCGGAAGGTCTACAAGAATGCATGTATTGACGCTGAGACAGGCACCTACCTACCTACACTGCAGTAAATTGCACTTGTGTATTGTGAAGGCGGTAGAGTTGGTTCCCAGCAGCAATTCCTTCCCTCGCTTTTGGTTGTTTACACCCACGACTGCGACCTCACCACGTCCAAGCGCCGGAGCCGTCACCGATACGATAATAGCGGCGAGCAAGTCTTGTGATGTGGATAGCTTGAAAGTCGGAGTCTCTCCGTTCAGCAGTCTGTTACAGGAAAAGGTCGTTGGTGTATTTTGATCTCTTTGACAATGGCAAGACAGCCTCGAAGACCAGCGTAGAATCCCCCAAAACAGTCACGATCGTTTGAAAGCTCTTCAGGAAAACCAAGCATCCCTCTTTCGCTCGCTTCTAGGAGGAACAACGGCGCTGTAGCTTGGGGAGTATGGTCTTCCTTGCATTGAAAAGCACCCTACTACCCCGTGGCGGAGTAGCAGCAGCCGCCGCAGCAGCTTGCGGGGGGAATCGAAAAACCAAAACAATCAGCACCTCCAGAAAATGGGCCTTACCTTCCGACTCATGGTGCCCACGACAGAGCACCTGCTTCAGCGACAAAAACGACTCCTGTGCAACGGAAGGCGGGAGTACCCTCTGCCAAGCGCGTGATACAGCCCTCTCTCTACTCCCGTGCGCTGCTGCGTGTGCCGGACTGGCCGTTCAGCAGCAAACTGCAGCAAACTGTAAGGGGCTCCGCAGAAAGATGCCGTGAGCTAGAGGTATGTGTGAGGCAGAAACCGAACCTTTTTTGGTATTTTCGTTAGCCGCAGCGTATCTTGTCGACGAAATCTGCAACGATGTCCGTGTCCCTTAACGTGTTGCTCGATGTTCGTAAGCCGGACCAAGGGATTATTCAGGTGGGGCATGCCTAGCGACCTGGAAACGCCTCACTGGTACGCTACGGCGCCGAAATTTTCTGCAAATGCCGCGTGTCATTGCAAGATATCGGGTCAGTTGGTCATGTGCGCATGTTGCTGTGGGCGAGCTGCGATACCCACTGACCCTTGCAATGCCCCAACAGGTGGTGGAGGCAGCGGGCTTGCTGCTGGGGATCGAGAACACGGATGAAAGTCAAAGTCCTGAGGCACCTGTCTATAGGGTAGGCGGACACTCGAGTAGGCGGGCCAGCAAGCAATATTCCCATACATAGTTAGACTACTGCAGATCTACAGCAGCTCTCGTACACGGTTTGCCGGTGCCTGTATTTCTGCGCTAAACTGCTGTACACACATTGCATAACACATGCTGTGGGTATGCATTGTACGGCGATTCGAGAACAGAAGACGCCACCCGGGTAGCTGCGGCGTTTTGAGGTTGAGGTTATTCCTTGAAGTACGTCGCGATCATGAGAAAACAGGAACATATCGTGCCTGTCGTTCCGATTGACCGATGCCCGTGCGTTGCACAAACTAGTGTCCATAATTGCTCTGGCCGCAGTAATGTCATGTACGGGAAAATAATCCACTCATCTGGCTCGCGGAAGTGGTTGTTCCGAGTCACCGCGCTGGTGTTCCATGGACAATCCTTGTCTTTGAGACACCCTACTACCTGATGGACGGGACACACAAACTTAACTTTTCCTGAGCAGAAGCTCGACTAGCGTGATCTTCTTACCGTTCGTTTTTGCGTTTTGCAAATCTTCTGTACGGAACAACTATGCGTCAGACCGTGCCTGCTGGGTCTATCTACGGATCGACCCTTCAAGCCATAACGCGACAACCAACCCCCGAAGTGCTGGAGCGGCTGAGGTTACTCGATCTATCGTCCATCAGCGATGAGGTCGCTCACGAAGTATTTTCGAAGGTAAAGCACGGTAGGAGAGCTCTACTTGCAGATCTTGCACCCAGGGCGCAACGCTATTCATATACATACGCCGCCTGTGCCCACAAGAGCGGAGGCAGAGACGATCCGGAACCGTTCGTGTAGAGATCAGGATAATTGATTTGCAAAGAGGCAGACTTGTGCTCGAAGTCACGCATGGTGTGTAAGTCAAGCATCATCGAACGACTCAGCAACAACGACATGCTGTCCCCGAAACCCCACGCAACGGAACTCCATAACTGTAACCACCTCCCTTACCCCATAGACCCTGCAAGCGGGCTTCGCCTCTGCTGGAAATATCCGCGGCTCGCCCGGGCTAGCGCCGCCATGGGCAACAAGCAAAAGCAGCGCCTTCGCCAGCGGCGAAAGATCCCCCGCCGACCACCACCACACGGGAAGCCTCCAAGGCGGTTTCGCCGATGGTACCAGGGTGCTACCCCCGGGGTCTAGGACGGAGAACGCCTGGAGCAGCGGCAGCGGCAGCGGCAGCAGCAGCGCAGCCGTTGGAGCGGCGGCAAGGAGTGAGACCGACGAAGTCGTGCACGCGCTGAAGCTTGCCGTCGTGGGCGTGACGCGGCGATTGATGGACGAGACACGTCTTCTTCCGCTGCAGAACCGAACGACGGCTGTACTGGTCGACGGCAGCCGGATGTCGCTCCTGGCGCTGGAGCTCGCCGGGGCCACCTGGAAGTTCGGCAGGTGCGGTTGGACGAGAGGTCCTAAGTTGAGGCAGCGATAATAGTAGAAACCTCGCGTCCGTGCGTAACGAGCAAACACTGCTGTTCTGGTTTTTCTGACCCGAGAGGGACAAATGTCCTACCTTGGTGCGTAACATGTTTTTTCTCTCTGTTTTTCCTGTAGAGTCGAGAGGAGCAAAGGCCCGTGCCTGGTCGGGAAAATTGGTGCTTTCGAGTGCGCACAGAGTTGCTTCTAGAAGACACTTTCCCAGTAATGCATGCATGAACAACCGACAGATCCGTTGAATTTCGTGGAGGACGGTGACCGTTGCTGCTTTGTAACGCGCTGAAATGAGCGGGCGAAGAAACCCAACTAGTACAGAAGTATGACATCGAACACCAGACACGCCAAGGCGCGATCGCCACGGCGCACCACAAAGAGGGATCCAAACCATTCCTTCACCACAGCACGTTCGTGTCATCCCGCTGTCGGCCAAAGCTTCTGTTCGTGTGTGTGTGACTAAACCACACTACTCCCACACGAGGACTCCTCGTCAATATTCGTGCCGCCAAAACACGCGCCGGGCAACGTTCCTCACCACGCGCCAGGTTTGTGGTCGTCCACGTCAGCGGAGAGAAGGACCCAAGCGAGACGATCCACGGCCACGACCAAGAACGCTGCGGTGGCGAGGAAGGCTTCGAAGGGCCAGAGCACGAAGACGCGACAACGGCGATGGGGCGAGAAGGCGGAGGTGGGAGTGCAACAGCAGTCGTCGACGAAGGTCGCGGCGCATACGAGGACGCCGGCGGCGGCGGCGGCGGCGGCGGCGGCGACGGAGGGAGGGAGAGGTGCGGGCGGTGGCACCCGGGCTTTCTTGAGGCCGAGCTGCGAGAGACGTGCCTCCGGCAGCTAGAGATTCCCGTGAGATATCGTGTGGTCGGCGTTAAACATTCGAGATTGTTCGCGTGATGATGTGTTTCGTGTGCACACGTTCTTCGAGGGCCCACCCACGTTTGCTACTGCGATGGTGCGTGTGCGTATCCGGCGACACTGGAGACAAGAACGAGGGTGTCGGTTCGGAACGGTTTGTGAAGAGTTCCTATCGGGTGCTGATATCGGGGGTCCTATCGCTGCACCTGACACCTCCATGCGTTCGTTTGGCGCCAACGCTCGTACCTGCACGCACGTCGACTCTTGTAGCAACTGTTCCGAGGAGTACAACCACGAAAAGAGTTGGTATGTCGTATCCGGGTTGCTTTGCGACCGCGGGAAAATAATTTATGTTCAGAGGAGAAGAGGAATGAAGGGTGTAGAGGCTACGAGACCAACAGCAGCAACAACAACCACAGCCACAACACGCCTGAGATTTCACATCGCCTGCATCCCTTGTTCCGTTTCCCGCTTTTTGTGTCAGGAAGAGTCTGTCGAGCTGGTCTTCCGATCGCTCCCCCCAGATTCCTCTGGCACCGTTGACGAGGTCACCAAGGTCATTGACGCCACCCTTGCCGAGCGCGGAGTCGAGGTGAACGCGGGTGCGGTTTGGAGATACTCGCAAAGGTCCGACTTGGTTTTTCGCGGTACTATTAGCCGCAAATGCTGTTCCTGCGGTATACAGCGGTTAGCGGTCGGGCGGCGTATTTTCGCTCGTTGGGTATCCAAGACTAGCCCATTGACGAACCAGCAGCACCATTTGCTGAGCACAGGATCGAGGTGGAGACGAAATGACCTACCCAACCCCCTCGATGTTTGCCATCGGGGTTGTTTCCGTCGCTTGGCGACAACGTTGTAAAACAAGCCTATTACTCCGTGAGCTCGGAAACCAGGTTGCCGCTTCTTTTTTTTTTTCCCTTTCCTTTGGCGGTAACATCATGCTGGTCGAGTAGATCATATTGTGGGGGGTCGAGAACCCTCACTCCGTGCAATGGGGACGATCGCACCACGTTGTGTTAAATTGGTCAAGCACCCTCGACGCTGTTACACAGTGCTCACAACTGTCTCAGGAAGTGAAAGCACCAGAAAACAAATTAAGTCATTCGCAGCTGTCATCCGTACGCAAGGAAGTACGCACAAGATGCGGCGAGCACCGTTAGCAGGATGTAGCGCACCCTTCATGCGACTCGCCGAATACCTCACGGCTCTTCGCGCTTGGTGATGTGAGAGCCTGGTCCGATGAAAACCCGGCGTGCGCCGTCCCGGCTTTGTAAGGATGCGAGGTCAATGGTCTGACGACCACGGCATGCACGATTATGAGTACCCCCCCCCCCGCGCGCGCATGCTTCCTTCGTGCAGGTGGTGTACATGGGGTGCTACGGGCGACGGGGGCCCCGTGTGTTGCATTTCGGGACGGTGGCGCATTGGGCGCTGGAGCAAACCCCTTACCAGGCAAGCTGCGGGTTTTCCACGCGCCGCAGCACCGTAAGGAGGCAGTCGAGATTGCTCCGGACCAAGGTGTTGGTTCGGTAGGCACGGCATGGGACTGTCGGGTTGAACGTGCTTTGACGTTGGGACTTGAAAGTGTCAACAACCGCAAGCGCCGGCAGCAACAACAGCAGCAGCAGCAGCAACAACACTAACGCCAACACCGACAACAATTTTGAACGTGCTTGGGAAGTCTCCACGTGACAATACAACAACAACGACAACAACAGGAACAGCCAAAATATGTTTCAACATCGTCGATACCTCTGGTGTTTTCGTTTGAACAGATCGTGTTCGCCAAGAAATTCTCTCCGTTCATGGTGTCTCCCGCTTTCTTCTCGAGACCGAAGAGGTATGGGGGCTTGGAGAGGCGGCAAGAGAGGGTAGAGGGGGGGGAAAGATAGAGCGGGATGGAGAGACGGGTTGGAAAGGAAAAGTTGGCGATGGGTACATGGGTCTAAACATGAAATTCTTCAGCAATGTCGTGTTGGGAGGAACATTAGTCTCCACGCCCTACAACAGCCGTTCAACCTTGACTTTTCCTCCCGTGCCTATTGCCTGACTTTCATCGCCCCCCCCTCCCCCCCCCCGCCCAGTGACACCACCCAACACTCACTTCCGTGGCCTTAACACCACACCGTTCTCGTCCGTGACTCTCCAGGTACCTAGTTGCCGTTACTGCGGATCTCAAAAAGGTTTGTCACATGTTGGACAAGCTTTTACCC